TGGAATTAACTGTAAGAATCCTTACTGTGGGAAAGTTTTGACTTTGAAAATAAATAAAAGATAAGATTGGGCTTTGAAGGTTAACTAGAGGGAACCAGAGAGCAATTAAAGGAGAAGATACTTATTAACATAATGGAGGAATATTATTTTACTATGGAAGAATTTAATTTGGCTTGGGAACAATGTGTTCAGGACTTATTTTCATTTTTTTTTTTTATATATTTTCAAAATGGAGCTAACAGAGGTTATAGAAGAAGAAAAGATTCTATTGGATAAAACAGGCTGAGGATGATTTGAATAAGGATCTTAAAATGGACTTTAAAAAATTGTTGAACAATAAAAGCGATATGGAAGTCATGGAAAAAGATGTTGTGGATTTGAAAAGGGGCTTAAAAATGTTCAGTTCTAAGAGTGACACAGAGAAAGAAGTTGCACTGAACCTACAAGTTATGCTGGTTGACGTTTTAACAATTAAAGGGGACATCCAGATTATAAATCAGAAAAGTGACTCTGGAATTATCTTATTTTGGATCCACAGAAGGGAAATATTAAATTTCTGAAGTTGTTCCTGAAAACAGACAGGGAGAAAATACTCATTTGGGACTTTATTTGAAGAAGCGACTGAAGATCAAGCCTCTTAAGAAGAAGGAAAAAGAATCCAAAGTGGATTTACTTGATCAGGGTATAAATTGTGATTTTGGGCTGTTATTATTGGAATCTTTTTTTTTTTTTTTTTAATCAGGACTGTAAGATGGGGATTTAAATATTTTTTCATATGGGGATAAACTTTCTATGTCCTATTTGTTAGAGAAAGTTATAGGTTATAATGTAAAATGGGCCTACTTGAGTTAGTTTAAGATATACATGATAGTAATTATTGGTATTTTCTATGCCTATGGGGATAAATCTTTTTATGTTTTACTTATAAGAGAAAGTTATAAGTCAAAATGCATAATAGATTTATTTGTCTACGGTTAAAATATATAGGTTATTATTACTGGTACTCTTAATGCTTTTGCTGAGTGAAATTGATGTATTTTTTATAATATGGCTACTGTTAAGGGAAGAGAAATGGGAATAAGAGGGGGTTTTTCCCTGTAATTCTAGACAAGGTGTTAAGTTACTGCAAATGTTTTTATGTTTGGAGGAGGGGGAGTCACTTTTTATATGTCTTTCCTTTTCTCTCTTCCTTTTCTTCTTTTTTGTTTCTCTCTCTTTTTTAGTTCTGTATTAGCTTTTATCTATGTAAAACTTTAACAAAAATATTGTTTTCTAAAAAGTGCTTTTCACAAAGTGGAGAATATGTAAATACAGATGCCTGTTAATTTCTTATCCTGCCAAGGAGAAAGTATCGCTGCGAAAAAGTCACAAAAAAATCAAAACCTTCTATCAGAATCTAGCTTTTATTTATACCTTTTAAAAAAAGGGAAGATTAACATATGTTTACAGTACATGTTTAGGATTAAATCCATGCTGCTTTAGTTGCAAATCAAGACGGTATGCTTTTCCTTAATCTATGCTTAGTGTAAGCTAATAAATCCATATGATAATGCTTCTGTTTAATTAGACAAACACTTGTGGGTATTTTGAAAGAACAAATATGATCTAATTTAGGGGTTTATCCACTGCCAAACCCATCCGACAGAGCTTCCAAACGATCTTGGTTCTCGTGCGCTTATGCAAAGTATGCATCTCTACTACTATGGAACATTTCTGAAACGCAGACGGTTTAAGTGACTGCATGGAGTTTGGGGTCTTTACCACCATCCCCATCATCCACGGTTTTAAAGGGCGTAAGGTCTTTGGCTGTGTATTCAGGAGGATTGACTTCTGAGCAGACTTTTTGGGCTTATCTTGCACACCTTTGTGATAAATCTTACTGAGTAGAGTGTGATTTATTTTCAAGTACATACACCTAAGGACAGGATGTCCATAACAGTGCTCAACGGTTGGGCTGTTGGGTGCAGTTCTGTCAGCCCACCACCCAAACGAACCCCAAATTCAGTGCCACAGAAGAGGTCGTATCTTCTCTCTTGTTCTCCTCCTCCTCCTCCTCGAATCACAGCAGCCAACAGCTTGCAGGAAGGTAGTTGTGCTATTATACAGAAAATTGATGAGGATGAAGAAGAGGAGAAATGATTACTTCGCCTACTGGTCAGCTGCATCAGATATTCAGAACCTAAAGAATTTCCTTTCTTGGCTTCAGATCGTCATTGCCTTCCAAAATCTCCACTTGAAACCCTTTTTCTTTTTGGTTCCGGCAGCGCATGAAAAAATAATTTGACATTCTGTCGCAGTGCCAAATTGATTGAATATATTACAGTAAGTAGATGGGGGGAAAGCCCTGTATTTCACAAATCCACCCAGAACAAACAAATCTTGAGAAGATTGTTACTCAAACATGTGTGATGTTTTGTATTTGAAAGTGCTGGAGTTGGACCACTGACAACAGTCCTGTGTTCATACAGGAGTTGTAGGGGATGAAGTTCAATAATTTTCCGAGCCAGGTGGCCTTTCGATGAGTTAGAATGTCAATTCCATCTGGGCACGGGGCAGAATATTTGTAATGTTTGTGCAAACCTGTGTCTTAAGTGCCCCCCCGCCCACTTTGTTTTTTCTCCAATGTTTCAGTCTCAGCTGAAACTCAGCTATACCTAACTTGATAGGAATGATATAAATGTCATTCCCTTATGCCAATTTCCACAGGCATCTTTAATGCTACAAGGGAAACAGCAGCAAACCGATGTAAATTAGAAGGTGCAGGGAGTTCTGAAGAAAAATACGTTAAACCACATTTGGTAATGAGCAAAACTGGTGGGGTCTCATTTGACATGACACGACTGGGAACTATTAATTACCACAAAGGAAATTAACACTAGAATCTTTCCCATATCCATCCTCTCTGCAGGCTTTGGTCCGGCACTTTCAAGGGTTATCAGGAAGCCTTTTCAAGTGGGGCTGTTGCTACAGTAGAAGGCCCTAGATTCAACCCCATTTACTTCCACATGAGGCGAAGAGATATTCCTGTCTGAAGCTAAGTTCACATGCCATGCTAAGCCATAGTTTATTTAAGCATGTTCTACTGAGTAAATTGCAACTGGCTGGGTTCATGCCATACTATAAGCTGCAGACTATGGCTTATGCGTCACAGTGGCTGGCTTTGCAAAATAATCTCGAGTTAAACCAAATGAATCAAATTACACCTTCATGTAATGTGTGAACCAGTGGTCAACTCATTTTGCAGCTAGATAATCTGATAGCCTGAATTGGTGAAACAGATTCTTTCAGTTACATTGGACTAATTCATAACAAGGTTTTATTGTTTTGTCTCAGTATGTTGTGTGAATCCAACTCACTATAGTCAATAACTATGGCTTAAGACTTAGCATGATGGATGAACCAACTGTGGTTTATTCAATAAACCATGGCTAAACAAACGTTATCTCATATGTTTGGTTAACCCAATTACATTGCTGAAAATAGTTAACATACAAATTTTCTTTTGCTTGGAATCGAGTTGAAAACACCACATTTATGATTGTTGGCAATGCTAAGCTAGAATGACCAATGGTTGGTCTTATAATGCAGCATAATCTACATTAGTCTTCATCCTAAAGCCCTTTAATTTAGCTTAAATATACAGCGCTGGCCCACATCTCTTTCAACATCTAGATCAGAGTTTCTCAACCTCATCAACTTTAAGATGTGTGGACTTCAACTCCCAGAATTCCCCAGCCAGCATGAGTTGAAGTCCACACATCTTAAAGTCGATGAGGTTGAGAAACTCTGATCTAGGTGAATGATGGCAGTCCTGCTGTTGCAAAGGCACCATAGATGAGTTCGTAACAGCAATTTCTTACACACTTCCAGCTTCAGATGAAGATGAAACATTGCAAATGTTTAAATGAAACAATACTGGCATTCTTAATTTTGACTATGTCATACAAGGATTATAGTACTTTAAAAACATACAGAAAATTATTCATGGGCTGGGAGCAAATATCAGGTTTAGACATATTGTTTGTTCCTTTGTGCTGTGTGAATCAGGCCACTATGACAAGAAGAAAACACATTAACCATGTCTTAGCACAATGCGTGAACTTAGCCACTGGGCAAATATCATTATTTTATATTTTAGTAAGCAATCAGCAGTAGGCTTGAGAGTTTTGTTCTTGTTAAGAGAAACCTTTTTCTCCTCTAGCTTCACAGTCACATCTGTACCATTAAACCTTCAACTGCATAGCCACACCAGAGTTCAACCAACAGTTGGGAACGGGGGAAAGTCTCCTTGTTCACTTCTTTATAAGGAAGATATTTTGTTTGGGGTTGCAAAATATTAGGCGAATAATCTAAACCTCCTGCTGAAATACCACAATTCCCTTTCTGAAAAGCCCTTGGTTAATCTTGGTGTCAAATCGAGCTGGTTTAAATTATTGTAATGTATAATAAGAAGTCTTAATGACAATAGTGTTGTGGAGAGCCAAAGAATACTAGGAAATACGGGCCAACAACAGTGAGCTAAATCCAGTGCAAGTGAGAACACAAACATGGGCCTGTTTGCTAAGAATGGAAGAGGCCTTGGAACGTCAGCATCTGCGGTTCCTAGAATGTCTCGACAGCATACAATTTTGTGGGAACTTGCAGAGTTTAGTCCTCGGAGATAGTCGTCCCGCTGGAATGAGGGAGTCAGAATTGGAAAGGCAGAATTCTGGGATTTCTGCGGCCAAGATATTGGCCTCTCGATATACAGCAACAAATTAATATTGCATGGTTGCTATTTCAAAGCCCACTCCAGGCAAAGAGACATATCTGAAGCCATTAAGCACAGATGGTTCAAACTATATGCAGATCTTCATCCTTGCGCTTTTGCTTTTTTATATTTTGTCTGTTCCCCACCCGCCCCCCACCCCTTCTGTTGAACTGTAATGAATTGTCTCATAATCTATTCCATCTTCTCGCCATTAGCAGGCTCTGAATGTTCACAAATAGGAGCAAAGAACTCATTTTCCAGAGCTTTAATCACACAAAGAGGGAATGCCTAATTCTCTAAATGAAATGGTCTGTGATCACTGAAGCGGAGATTTAATATATCATGGCAAATTAGGTAGATTTTAATAAATTACTTATCTTTCTGAATACTTTACATATGCTCACAAAAGAAATATAGCCTGTTTTGCAAACAGTGGGAAGCTCTTCGCCTATAAAATCCCATTTAAAGAATTGAAAATAACACACACACACATACAAACACATACACACAGAAATAATTTGCTTCTGGAAATAATATACTACTCTTTCACGGAACTGAGCAGAGGATGGGGCTCAGCAGCATAAATGGCTCCTTCCAACTCTATTGTTCTGTGATTATTTTAATGTTACCTATCCCATGCAAATTACATCTAAATCTTTCATCAATATTGGTAGAAAGTTGGAATTTCCAGGCTGTATCATGTATTATATAAATATGATTTAAAGGGGGAGGGGGGAGAGGGAACAAAGCTAAACCTGAAGTGTAAAACACTTCAATACATAGTTGATATATGTAAATCTCTTTTGCTTACAGATGACCCCCTCCTTCAAGACGCCCACATGCACCGTTTATGGAATGCCCTCCCTTCAAAATTTGATAATCTCAACTGTTAGCAGAAGGGCAAAAGTTGTGGGTTTCTTTTTATAAAAGCTTGCAGTAATTTAATAAGTCTGGGGACTAGTCTCATTCTTTGTATTTAATTGATAGAAATGGCATGCATCAAAGAAAACGCATACTGAGACTTAATGTGCATAAAATGGATATTAGCATTTTAAAGAGGCAGATTAACACATTTATCCAAGTAATTTTCATATATTGCTTCTAATAAAAGCTTCGCAGTATAAAATTCTTAATGAGGCTAATCGCAGGCATTCCATTTAGTGGGGTGATTAGGGATACCATAAAGGTATTTTTAATCAGTTTTCTAAGGCTTAAGTGTATTATTATTATTATTAACATCATCATCATCATCATCATCATCATCATTATATAATTACTTGATTTTTCATGACTTTTGTATATGGAATATTGTATTTGTATACACACACACTAGACAAAAGTCATGAAAAAAAAAATTTGAATATATATTTTCAGTAAACAAAAGGGTCCATCATTCAATCATATAGACATTAATTATTTACAGGCTGATGTCTGTCGTGGGCTGGGATGGAGATAGCCCTGGGGTGGAGACAGACAGAGGGAAATATAAAAATATAAATCCAAACCGAGGAGAAAAAATATACAAACTTTAAACTGCAAACGGAGCAGGCTTTACATACAAATTATCCATTAAATATAAGGTAGCATCTCTCTTGCTTTCCATCAGACGTGCCGGGAGAAGGCCCAGGCCTCCAGGTTCAGGGTTCCTGGGCATTTCTGAGTTTCTTCCAGACTGAATGCAGAGCGGCCAGGGCTTCTACTGTCACTCTCAGCTTCCCAATGACTGCTCCTCCATCTTGCGAATTGAAAACTAGAGAGGAAAGACCGGCAGAAAAGATAGTGACACATCAGGAAGCAGAGTGACAGACATCTTACCTCCCCCATCTCTGAGTAGCCTCCACTGGACACCAAAAAACAGGCTTAAAAAGGAGAGAGAGGGAGGCAGAGGGAGAGAAGCAACCTTCAGCCCAATCTTTCTAGGAAGCACTAAGACTTGCTCTTTGGCTGGGAGTCTGCAACGATCCAGCCTGAGCTCCATGGATCCCAAGCCAAACCACGGAGCTCCTGCAGTCTGTTTGGAAGGAGACTGGGTCAAGTTATGGCCTTCTCTGTTTCATCTAGGAACAAACCCTGATCATTTTGAGAATATCTTGGTTCAGATGGAATGATGTTGGTCTCATAAACTATGCCTTATTTCACCGATGTGCTCCATCCACATAGTTTTCCTTCGTCCTGTCACTATGGCACTTCTGTTACAGTTTATTAAATCACAGATTCTCATTACATCAAGTCCATGCAGAGAGCTATGAAGCCCAGCGCATGATTGATAACCCAATTCCCAACTTTAATCCAACTTGTGACTTGGATAAGGGACAAAAGAAATGCCATCATGTCCTGACCCAAAAGTAAAGGTTGTACAATGCTTTGCATTCAAAGGCAAAATGATGACTAGGAGCAGACGGGGTGCAAACACATGGCAGCTACCTGAAACTCCTTAAAGGAAAGTTGGCCAGGAAAAGCTACATTTCAGTTAAGGAGTTTTAAAGTTTTATTACAAGTCACTGGCTTAGGTGAGACCAATCAACCATCAATGATTCTTAATCTCTTTTTGCTTAAGGGCATGTGGACATCACCCATAATATTAGATTTTAGGTATTTAATATCCTTAAGGATTTGTGAATTGGGAGCTTGAGACACTGGTGTTAAGAACCACCTTGGACTTACCATCAATGTCTTGGTCAGTGAGGTCTTGTCGTTTCTGAAATATCTGGCTTAGACTAACATAAGCAAAGCCAATGTCTTCACATTCAAGATCCTGCTGATCCTCCGGAGGGTCACTTACTACTGTAAATCGTATACTGAAAAAAAAGCAAGTGAGTTAAGGGGGACAACATCCACCTATTTCTGACACTGCACAGCCTCACATGTGGGAATTTCAGAGTCAGATTAAACATCAGCTGGGTTCACCTAAAACGTCAGACTAGGCTAAAATATATTTGGATCATTTGCGGTTCAGTGCCATGAGAAAACCCGGTCACAGTCTTAGCAGGCCACACGAGTCAGATAGGAACATGGTTTATTTGCCATCAATAGCACGTTCTGGGGCAAACAGCTCCTCTGAGGACTTTTAGGGGTTCTGATCTGGACTGGGAACACCACTATGGATCAACAGTCAAGAGCTGCTTTTTCTTCAAAATGGAAGTGGCTGGTTTAATGATGTGCTTGGCTAACGTATGTGCAATTTAGTTCTTAGAGCATCTTTCAGGCTAGCCTCAATTATCCATTACATAGCATCAGGGTGACAGTAGCTACATTCATTTATGCTCTCAGCATGCTTGCCTATTATGATCATGTGAAATTGCTCTCTTGAGAGCTAGACTAAGGATCTCTCTGCCCCATATTGTCTCCTTTAGCAGCAGTTCCTCAAGGTACCTGGGAAAAAGTATTTCTTAGTTCTGTTTCCTGTTTTCCTTCTGGAGAGAGATGTCCAGGTTTAAAGGGGGGATTAATTCAGACCCAGAACTACTGTCCTTGGAAATAAACAGAAAACATTTTTGGGGGTGGGGAGGAGGAAAGAAACATCAAGGAAAAATAGGACTTCATGAAAGCCCAGAAGGAATTTATTATTTATTTATTTTACAACATTTAGATACCATCCCTATCTAAGATACTTTGTAATCTGGGAAAAGGTCCTGTAGCATTCTGGCTTCTCCTTCCAACAGAAGAAAGGAATACTCTTCTATCTGCCCCATCCCCAAGAATTTTTTTTAAACAGGACAAAATGTGTTATTTCAGAAGTTTCCAATATACACCATAGGGAGAATGTCCTTTAGCTGTACACATTCCTTGTGGTGGACTGTGGCATTAGACGTTCTGCCAATAAAGCTATTTATTCATGTACAAAGTACTGGAATGAGATATTCTTTTGGAACGCATGGTTACTTAGATGAAGAATGGAAGGAAACTCTTCTTGGAAGAATACATTTAAAATAATACGATCCCTCTAACAAATAAATAACCATCTTCCAAATATGTCAGCCTTGTTTGTTTACTTGGCAACTTGGAAAGGCCCAAAATATAAAGACAAGTGTAATGGATGACTTTTCCTGCACCTCAGCCAACTGACCACACTTGGAAAAGTTTAGCCAGACCACAGAAAACTAGCTTTGCAGATTGTTAAACTTGTTGTCTATGTTTCTTTTTTAAACAAAACAAAACAAAGAAAACATCAACGTCAATGCAAATTAACACCATTCTTGATAGAGCAGATGTTGCTTAGAAAAGATTTAATTTAGCTTCCCAGCTGTCCCAAAAGATCAACATGTAATAGGAAGCATCTTTTTACATTAAAATGGAGCAAAATGCAAAGCCCTCCTTATATGGATTAACATTAATGTATTAATATCACGGTATATTATTCATCACCTTGTGACCTGGTTCTTATACAATATTAAGCCACAAGATTGTTTGTCTTTAACCATGATATGTCCATCTATATGAAGAAAAATAATTGTTTAAAACTGGATTGTTGAAAACAAACTATAGTTGGCTAATGAACCCTGAATAGTTTTATCAAGAGCTTATTATAAGGAGTGAATTCAGAATTGTGTCTAATTCCTGATTTATTTATTTATTTATTTGCTATGTCCATTTCTTCTGGTTATTGACAGAAGAACTGATTTACAAAAAGGCCGAACAACCCATGATTATTTTTCTTACTTAAAAACTGCCTCTAGCTTGCTCATTATTCCTGGGGCTGGATGCACAAATTCAGCCTATATTTCATTTGCAGAATGACAAGTTAGAGAAGGCTGTAATAAATAAAATATTGCATTTGTATAATAACTACGTAGCACATCTCAAGAGTTAAAAACACTGCACACCTGTAATCTTGACAGTGTTTACAAATGGCAACCTAGTAAGATAGACCAACATTTTTATAACTTCTCCCCAATGTCGGGAAGATGGAAACCAAAGCCTCTGTGAGAACATGGGAAATTCAATCTGCAAACTAAGCATAACTTGAATTCTCGTTGTCTTTTCTATATAACACAACTTACTGTGATTTTAGTTATCACTGATATTTCCTTTCCCCACATACGCAGCCAATTTGGAATGATATTTTTATCCTGGGTTGTTTGGTTTCCTAAACTTTAAAGTTTGGTTCCTGTTTCAAATGAAAGGGGAAAAGAAATCTTCTGATATTATTATAGGAGGCCTTGTGATAGGAAACATGTGCCTAGGAATCAATGCCGCCAACTTCACAATAGGCTGCATCTGTGTACTTGAGAGCAATAGTCTGTATTTCCCATCCTGAGGGCTGGACTTCAAAGATGGGCCTAGAGTCGGACAAGGGAGCGAGGGCTGATTCACATATTCAAGTGGTCACATGGGGACTGCCGTACGAAGCTGCTGTATGGTACAAACTAGGAGAAGCTGCTACAATGGATGTCACTGGCTTTTTTTGGTGGATATGGTAAATCCCTAGGCAAATGCTACATAGAAAGCAAAACACAGTCATATCCATCCATGTGGAAAGGAATGATGCCCACTGCAGCATTCTGGTAGTTGGGTTGCCATGTTAGCACATGAAGTATCTCTATCTCCCACCGCCCCATGGTCTTGGGATCTGCCTTCTACAGAAGGCCAATGTGATTCCCTTCAGGCTCATGGTAAAATGAATCCACCTTATCGCTGGGCATGATTTGTGAATCAGATCATTTTGACCTGTTCAACCATGGTTCTGAAAACATCCTGGCTTCTAATGCCGGAGATTAAGAACAACAAAAAGAACAACAAACACACATTGCCAGGAAGGATTAGGGAACTCAGGAAGAAGATTAGGCACACCTAGAAGTACAGACTGATGCATTGTTCGAGAAGACAAGTTTTTAGTTTGGAGCGAGAAGCACAGTTTGTATGATATGAGGAGTCCACTTTGGGGATGTCATCTGGAGGAAGTTCTGGCCACCATAACTTATTGGTCTGTCTTAGTGAATTCTACCACTGATTCATTCATCTGAGTAACTTCTCCTTTGATTGGCAATGGTTTTTGAGAATTGAAGATTTGGGAAAAATGGTGTATGGAAATATACATGTTGGGGAATGCCACGTACAAAAATAAATATGGATTTTCTCCATTTTTTTTTTAAAAAAGGATGCATAATATTTGACGGAATATTATGAACAAGCATGTCCCAAATCAAAATGCATCTAATTTAGATGGACCCAGACATCTCTAGCTGGATTGGGCATCCAGCCGTGCTTAACTGCAAAGAACATTGAGCAAAAGATTTTGCTTAGTCATGACGCTTGAATTTGTCATATAAAACAATGATCTGTGCTATGGATTATAGGACTACTGGGATATCTTTAACTTTATTTGGAGTTTTACTAGACCCAGCATGTTATTCATCTCACTAATATATGCAGTAAATCTGGAAGTCCTTTGCTTGTTTGCTGAAATGAGAAAAGGAAAAAAAAAATCTTTCTGAACTTCAAAGTGCTTTAGATGTGAGACGTGCCTGCTCTTAAAGGATCACTTTATGGCACTTCCTGTTGGATTCCATTAAAAAACTGTGTGCCAGCCACCATATGAAGCTCAATTTTGAAATAAAATGGAGAAAAGCAAGATTATTGCCTTATTGCCAGCTAATATCCCGTTAGTTGAAACTGCTTATCTGTAAATACTTGCACAATCTAAGTGTGTGAAAAGCTAATCAGCGGTTCTTATACCAACTACGATCAAAAGAGCACAGATCTTGAAATTAAAAAGAATCTCTCTCCACACACACTGGGTGGACCTTAAAAGGAAAAACAGTCCTTTGCTTTTGAAAACTGTAAGCAACATTCCGATTCCGTGAAGGGTGAATTTTCATTTCCTCAGAATAAACGAGGGCATTATAATTAAGTCTTTCAAGAACAGCTTGCATCCAAACTCCTGTTAAGTACACAGATAGAAATTCAAATTGATCATGTTGCTACTGGAACATCTGACCTTAGTGAAACAAAAGTCAGGTTTTCCAAGTATTTATGTCCTCCTGTATTCATTTTTCCTTTTCTTTCCATCAGCTGCAATTATTAATTACTACTAAGGAATATGAATCAAACTGTCCCAATGCTCCCTCTCAAAACTTACCTTCCATGTTTAGGCTCAGATCCACCAACTACAGCCTTGAGATAGTCCCACCTTCCTTTGTGCGTTAGCTGATCCACATGTATTACTGCAAAGTCAAACAGAAATGACCGTGGGTGCAATTAACGGACAGCAAATAAATGAAAGCATCTACTTCACATTATTTATTTTCAACATGCTGATTTTTTGTGTTGATGTCAGCCACCCAAAATATCCCTCTGGGTTGATTTAAACACCCTGAAATAAAACGATAGCATTGGGCAAAGCATTCCTTTACGATGACTTAGATGCTCGTGCAGATCCCATCTGGTAAAAGACATGCATAACATAAAAAGAATAAAGACTGGAAGCCAATTCTAGACGAAGAATGTGGAGGGCAGATGAGCAGAATTTATTCACATACAGACAGATATCTACTTCCAGGAAAGGTAAACTAAAAAAAACAGATGGCTTTGAATCCTCAACTCAGAGGTCTTTTCTCATGCTTTTGATAACACTCAAAAGGACCTGCTGTTCAGTTGAAGTGAGTCAAAGAGGAAGATTATTATTTCGGTCCCAGGCCCATTTGCTGGACTGTTCTTGATGCGAGATACTGAGTTAAGACCATCTGTCCTCACATAAGAGGCTCTGACCTTTAAAAAATCTTCCACGGTCCTACTGGGAGCAACAACATCTTTTGAAATCAAGTGAATACTAAAAAGACACAGGGCTATTTTTGATCCTGGCCACCCTGTTCTAGAATGATTCTTTTGTTGGGATTTCTTCCTGCTATCTTAAACAAGCCCTTGATAACACTCAATTTTTTTCTTTAAACAAATGCCAAGGCTAACACTAGCTTTTTGGGTCTACAGTTTTATGTGTTTTTAAGGCCTCCTTGTGATTTTTCTCTTTATCAGACACTTCATGAATTTTAAAAATGTAAATAAACTAATGGAATTGATGAAGTTGCTAGATGAAGTCAGTGGTTGAACCCATCTAACCAGGTCACAGCGGCCAACTTGATATCCAGTTTTGTTTTCTAGTTCAACCTTTAACTGGGATCTTAAGAGTGAAAAATCCAGCTTTAAATTATAACTCATTAAAGCACAACAGTGCAAACATCTTATGTGAAAGGATAACTGTGGTACTTTAAAAGATCTTGCGTGCGTGGATTCTTAAGAACAATTCTTCAGAGAGGGAGAAGGAAAGGAGTGGAAAGAAGGGCTGGGTGGAAGGAATTGCCACTTTAAGCACTCCCTAAGAAAAATCAACAACAAAAGCCGCAACTGAAGTCGAACTGTCATGTGATTCAGTTGTCATCTTGCTAGCAGGTTAACATCCAGGCTGCCAGAAGAGATGTAAACAGCATCTAAAAGTGCCACATAATTTTCATTTCTTGTTAATGGCCCTGGCAGTTGTGACTGTAAAATCAGTGGTTTTATTGTTCTGCGATGGAAAGGGATTTATGGTAGTTTCTTTCACCTGGTAAAAACCACCAAGACTGATAATGTATGGCACAGCACTTGTCCTTGCTGACAGTCCTGGTAATTTAATCCTCTTCTCCTGCCACGAGAGGCCATACATAAGACGTTTAGGCCAGAAGAGTGACCAAAGCCATAGATGACCATTTATCAAGCTACATTCAAACCGATAAAGAGCCACGTTATTCTGTGGACTCCATTTTTGTGACATTTTCCAGCAATGCTTGTAAATTTGGCCTTGCCAATTAAGTCAGGGGGACCTAGTTTCGAATTGAACTGAAAAGCAAACAATTGCATCTGCTGCTTGGGGTCAGGAGATGATAGCAGACGATAAAAGATGATGCAGAAGATGATAAAAGCTTGAATTGGGCCTTGCCTTTGCACTTATTTGATGACCCAATGCTTGGGTGCTCTAGCAATGCACAGAATAAATAAAAGGTAGATGCTCTCAGCTTTGACTTCTGAAATACTAGTAATAATAATAAGGCAGAGCAGGCTATGTTTTGGGGGCTGGGGGCCACATCCACTATTTTTGAAGGAGGGGGACACTGACCTAAGATGAAGTGAAGCTGGTCATGAATTTTGGAGGGGGGGGCCCACCAGATTTTTTGAAAATAGTATCTTCTTCTTTTAAAATTATATTAATCTCCTATTTTAGGAGATAACAGTGTAGTTTTTGTGTATTTCCCACCTCAAAATACCAGGTCATCATTTTTCAGGAAATGTAGTAAGAGATCTGGGGATTGCAACTAAAATTAAAAAAAAGGGAGGGAGGGGGCTCTACAGCCACATTCCCCTATATTACAAAGTTTTCTATAAAAGACCATACATAAATTTACCAGGAAACCATAAGGTACTGGATAAATACCTAGCAACAATGAACAATCATTTAACAGAAATTTAGTGGCTGAAACATCGTCCATCCTAAAACGTATATTAATATACTGTATTGATATTACTTTTATGCCATATTGCTGGATTCAGTTGCATGTTTTAATGTTGCCAACTGTTACGAAAATCACAGTTTGCAGGGGGAAAAAAATAAAGAAATATTCCTGTTTTTTCTCCTACTTTCAACGGCTGCTTTCATTCAGATGTCATTAAAGATCCCTCATCTCTTCTACCCTAACTTGAAGTATCTCCAAAATCTCACTGCACCATTTAACCCAAGTTAAATGAATTTGGTCCTGCTTGTGCAAACTCAAAGACTGCTGACCAGCCTTTCCCCTCTCACAAACCATGGATGGGATTACAGAATATGCATGCTCCCATTCATTGCTTACCACACACTGTCTTTCATTGCTTACCTATCAATTAATCTTCCCCAACCTGGAGCTCCCCAGGTGTAACTGAGATGTAACATGCACACTCCCAGGTTGTGTGGCCATGAGAACTAAGGTCTAATTCACTAACCATAAACAGTCAAACCAGACTTCTTCCAAAAGCTGCTATACCTCCTGGATAAACAGTTGTGCCAAAATCTATCCAAACAGGGCTTATGGTTTTGTCTCCTTTTCTGAACCAAATCCTAGAAATAAAGAAACTTGAAATAATTTCTGTAGCCTGTACATGGAAAGAATCTTTCTTCCATCATTTTATGCTGAATCCAAAGGATACTCAACCATCAATTATCTTTGTTTTTCTTCCCTCCACTCTACCTGCCTTTGGTAACTACTATTTCTCCAGATAATCCACTACTCACTCCTCAAAGCTCAAGGCTTCTGATCTATATAAGTCTCATAAAAAGAAGTTTGGGAATATTTCATTAATCTTGCCCTTTTCTATTGTCAATTCACAAGCAGGTTTATATACAGCCAAGATAACATTCTTTAGGCCCACAATCATTAATCTTATTTCCAGGCTGTTTTCCTGCTTTCTCAGCATAGTTGAGGCAATATTCTTTTAGCCCTATGAAATATAAATGCTATTTCCTTGTTATCAGTACCTATCAACTGAACTTAATCTTTGTTATTTCAATTATGGTGGTCTTGTCCAAAGAGGGAGGAAAAGAAAACAAGATTGAGGGACCAGGGGCAGGAGGAAAGGAATCATTTTGTCAAGGTGAAATTAAGAATCTCCCTTTGTGTGTCACTGTCTACATCAACTTAGTGAAAAACCAGTCAGTTTGCTTACACCCCCAATATTTCACTCTTGAAAGTTAAAAGTACTGTTCAGTTCAGGTTGAAAATAAGTAGGATAACATCTGCTTGCTTATTAATGCCTTCCCAAATAATTTTTTTACAAAATGATTTTTCATTCTGAAGCACTATTTGATACAGCACTTGTCTACAGGTTTCATGTAGAAGGACTCTGCATGGAATGGGGAAACAGGATTCCGATTTTATATATCTGTATAGCAAAATACTCCCAGGTGGTTCCACCCTACTTATTTAGAGGGAAATGGTAATGCAAGCAAGCAAGCAGGTAATACCGATCTTTTTTTCCTCCCACTGCTACTCACTCACCTGGTTTCTCCATCTGGGAAAAACAGATAAGACAGTGGACAGCAATGAAAAAGATCAGCAAGGCCTGGAAGTTAATCACACCTCCACCCTGCTCTGCCCTGGTCAGACACCACTTGGAGTCCTACATTCAGTTTTGGGCACCATAGTTCCAAAAGGACAGGGACAAACTGGACCAAGTTCAGATGTGGGCTACCAAAATGGAAACCAAGTCCTATGAGGAACAATTAAAGGATCTGGGTATGTTTAGCTATAGAAAAGATAACTAAAGGAAGTTATGACAGCAGTCTTCATATATTTTGAAGGGTTATTACACAGAAGAAAGAGTGCACTTATTCCAGTGGGTTAAAATTACAAAGATGACGGTTCAGACTAGACATCAGGAGGAACGTTCTGACTGTGTGAGCTCTCAGTGGAACAGGGTACTACATGAGGTGGTTAATTCTTTGCTGGAGGTCTTCAAACAAAAGCTGGAAGGTCATCTGTGAGAGATGCCCTAGGGAACCCTTAGCATAGGGTTAAATTAGAGGACCTCTAACATCCCTTCCAACTCTATGAGCCTAGCCCCAGATGTTAGCTTTGCAGAGTAGACCAATCACACCACTAGCATCACAAGGAATCTGCCCATATGAGTTTATTAATAAGTAACTGTCAGAGGCAAAAACTTCTACTACACATCCCAACTTCCAGGTTTTGATGTAATACCTCTTCCTGTCACAGTGATGAGAGAAGTTGGAAACTATAGTTCCTCAATTTTTGGAAAGCCCACAATTGTTCCTCTCTGAAACCCACTGTCCATCTTACTTCTTTACATGGCTCTTTAGAAAGGTTCTTTATATGAGTAAAGCCGTCTGCAAAATAAGGGTAATAATTAACAGACAAGCTTGGGCCCATTATAGTATTATAACTTACTAAGAACATTTAATTTATTAAGTGTAAAGCTCCCTTCCTTCTATCTATAGATTAAAAAGGGAAAGCAAGGGCTAGAAATTGAGAGCACTAAGTTGTTATATTAAATGTTGCTTATTAAGGCAGAATTTCACAAGATCTCTTTGTCTCAGCTAAGATGTAAAGCAGTTTCTTAAAAAGCCAGCCACAGTGCTAAGATATAAATATAATAAAAGAACTCAATAAAAAGGCATTTATTTACTAAGAAATAATGATTTCTCAAATTACACCTGGGTTTATGATGATTATTTTTTTCATACAAAATCCATGGGACTGCTAGTTTCTCCCTAAGCCCAAAGTACACTTCCTTCCTCCATCATGAAAATCTCAGTTTTATTAAAGAAAATATTCAATTAACCCCAAATATTCTACATACCCAAATCTAATTAGGCATGAATAAGAAATGGAGTAAAGCTATAGTAAACACGCACATTCTGACTTCATTACTATTAGATTATTGGCTTTCTTGCCGACATTATGAAACACCAAATTCATTAGGGCCCTTCTCTGAAATGATGTTTCCTTACAAGGAGAGCAGGCACAGAGGAAATATTAGATGACCAGTTATTTAAGTAATACCCCAGGAAAAGTAAAGCAACCTTGTTAGAAATGAGTTCTCCATTATAACTTTGTAGCAAAGGCAGAAAAATTATTTCCCAAGAGAAGGTGCAGCTTGTTAGAAAACTGATTTGTAGCATACCTATATGCAAGAACGGCAGGCCCCTGTTTGCATACAGACAACCAGCCATCCAACCTGAAGTAGACCCTCACAAGCAACAAGAAACCACAGGACAATAACGCTAACATGGGAACCAGACCCTGCAACAAACCCAGATGCCTAGTCTGCCCCCACATCTACCCCAAGAGCACCATCACAGGACCCCAAAAGCACGCACCCAAGATTAGAGGTGCCTTCACCTGCTTTTCCTCCCATGTAATATTGGCCACCATCGGCCAGCAACGTCCCTCTGGATTCTGTGTAAGACAAATGGGACAGATCACGGGCAAAAGGATTAACGGACACAAGTTTGACATTAGGACTCCAACGCAGGTCAACCTCCCAGGAGACCTCAAAGTGACTGTCTTGGGCAGGACTTTAACAGCACCACTGAGTGAGAGGTGGTACCAAAAGGATTCAGGCTATCTCCAAAGATCTCAATAAACTCAGTGGGTTTTAACACATGAGGATTGTTGATTAATAAGGTATTGTAATCTGTCTCACGTGTATCCTGGATCTGCACAATCACCCTCCCCTTCCCTCATGCCAATTTAAATCCTACATCAGTCTAGTCACTCGGTGCTTCTGATGAAGATAACTGTAGCCCATAAAAACTTATGCCTTTTAATAAAAGCGTTAGCTGGAAAACGTGCTACCAGACTCCTGCTGATTTGTTTCTAACAGGTGAAACTTCGGATTGTTGCTGTACAGCCAGAATCTAATGTAGAGAAAAAGATGGCACGTGATGTGCTAGCTGAGGAAGATGGTAGCTGTAGTCCAACACATCTGGAAGGGGCCATGACTCAGAAAGACTGGCATGGAAGCAGGTTCATTTAAACATTCCATGCAGTCATTACATTTAAACCAAAAAACAACACAGCAGAATAATTCTATTAAATAAAGTGTTTTGTAGTGACAGAAGTGAATAATAAAAGGAAAAACTGCTTTTGTTTTTCTTTTTAATCACGGTTTCAGTGAAGCTGAAAAGACAGATCCCATCTTTCAAATCTGAACTCTTTTAATCAATTTAGAAAGTCACTAAGAGCTCACCATAATCTATAGGAAACAAATGCTAATAAACCAAATGAAGTTTGCTGATGACATGATTCCTTTCCCACTTAACAACGTTTTGACACCACATGCTTATAAAAGTGGAAGCATACAATCAAATAAATATTGACACCAACATCTGGAGAAGATTGTGATTGGTAATTTATTATATGCATACTCACCCAGACACATACTTGAAGCAGTTATATAGGACACATGCAAGTTTAATTTTAATGAGGAATGTCTGAATACTGAATTTTGAGCAGCCCTAAAGAATTACTAATCCATAAATGGTTTCTGTACTCTTGTCCATGCCAAATATGTTATCAAAACGTATTACAGTTGGTCATAAGAAACAGCAACTGAATGACCTCCCCCGAGATGCAACTGGCCCCAACTCTGCCTTTTGGAAGGTTGTGAAGACCTGACTGTTCCCTCGAGAAGTTGATGTACTTATCTTGTGAGGCATGACATACTCTGGGGTTACCTGATTATGGGTTTTGTTGTCATGGGTTCTGGCTATTTTTGTTGTATTTACTATACTCTGTTTTTATAGTTACATGCTGCCCGAAGTCTCGCTTTCTGAGATGGACAGCCACAAATAAACCAACTAACAAAATAAATAAGCCCCCAAAATTATATATTGGTATTCATCAACTTGTGAACATTTTAAGTAGCCTTATTTTATCTGTTTTTGTTTTGCTATCTTATTTTTATATCCATTGCTGAAACAATGATGACGAGAAATATTCTATTTTAAATTCTTGTTGCTATAACATATTCCTTTAGATTATACGCTAAGTGCCTTGAAAGGAGGCATGTCCACCACTAAATTGTTTCTGCTTCTTCCTGTCCTAATCAACAAAGTCTAAAGTTCCACAATCTGCAATAAGGGTAATTTAATCCCCTATGAAACACCACATCAGCCTTCAAATTGAAGCCATTTATTTGCAAACTCCAACTGTTTTTTTTCTCAGTCTAGATACCAAGTGAGCTCTGTAGTTTTTACTTGTTGTGATTTCTGGAGGAAACTGATTGGCTATCATGGAGGGGAGGATACTGGGCAAGATGAAACCATAGGGTGACCATTAATATATATATAAAAAGTAAAAACACTAATCAGATCTTTTCGACAAAATCTGCTACAGAAGGAAGAAGAGAAGGAGACACACAAAATAAAGGATTTAGAAACTTGATGAAATAAATACTAAATGAATTCATACCATGGCTATAGTTATAGTACACACGTTGCCCACTTTTGGGTTTTGGAAGCGCCACAGGAGTTTCAGTTGTTTTGAAACTGGAGAACTTGGACTCTACGAAAAGCCGCTGTATCGTGCAATCCATCAAAATCTGGGAGTCTGTGAGGCTGAGGGACACTATTTCAATCCGGATTCTTTCAGCAGGCTGTTTAAAGACAAACAACAGTGCGTTTGCTACTTGTAATGCACAACAAGCGCAGACGTTGCACAGAAGGCCTTGGATGACAGAGCTGCAAAGGGGCCCTGATTTTGTGATTAATCTAGTCTTTGCAACAGGCAACACACTTACGTTTTATGTCACATATAATGATTTTTTTTCCCTTTAAGCACATTCTACCTCCCTTCACACATTGTTGGGGCCATTTAAATTACTAAACAGTACATCCAAGTTTCTATATTTAAGCAATTATTTACACTAAATTGATTCCCTCGATACCAATCCTTCCAAACCAGCATTTCTCAACCTTGGCAACTTTAAGATGCGTGGACTTCAACTCCCAGAATTCCCCCAGATGGCTCCACGCATCTTAAAGTTGCCAAGGTTGAGAAATGCTGCTCCAAACAATCATTTTCTCAGCTTCTGGGGATTCCACAGATACAGCCATGCAGTACAGAAACAGTTTGCCACTGACTTGTTTCAGGATGTGTTCTGAACTCCCCATCTGTTTTATAGCTCTGGGGGTTTCTGGTAGTCTCCTCTCCAAATACAAACCAGGTTGAACCCTGCTTTGCTTCCCAGCTCAGACAAGGTCAACAGGTATGCCTAATTTCTTTATGGTTTTAAACAGCCCTACTCTAGACATGCTTTAGTAATATTAAATGGGACAAGGTGCTTACAAACCATGGTTTATGGAGTTAGGACCAGGGGCCTGAGCCTACTTTACCATCCCCCCTCCTGTTTGGTAGGCTGCATTGTGACTCAAAGCACTTTCCTCTTCATCAATTAAGCATATTTCCATTTTGTACATAGAAGCTGGACAAGACCAAGTGAGGATAAGAAACGTATTTGGATTGTTCAAACTTAAACAAAGTGTGTCTGATTCCAATGAAAAGAGACATAACATGTGATGGCTGCAAATGGAAATAGATGTTTCTGGCAGTGCTCAAGGAAAAGAGGGAGGTGGAACTGTGTTAAGATGAATGCATATTCATATACAATAGTTCGACAATTCAGTGTTAAGTGTGAATGAAGTCAAAGTGTGGCAAAATGACACGGTGGCTTATGTTTACAGTTTCCCTGGGACACGAATGCATCTGTGCCAAAAAGCGAATGAGTGAAAGCACTCATTCACGCTAAACATGAAGCCAACATATGTACGGGTACTACTCTCTGATGTAACTACCACATCCTTCACTCTGCAAAGACCCACATTTTCTCAGAGTAGCATGTAACATGATTGCCCTTGAACCTGCTAGTTTTTCTGGATGTAGTAAGATAACTATTTTTAATACATGAGGATGCGTTGACAAGATGTCTTCATTTTTTGAAGATTAAAAGGAAATCTTGGATGGTGTCCAAATGTGCATGTTGATTGCACTATCCACTTAGGTGTATCACTCAGAAAAATATTGTCCATTAGGTGGATGGGGCTCCATGTTAAATATTAAAAGAAAAGCACGCAAGGAATTTCCTGCACTGAGTCGGTGGTTTCAAAGAACATATAACCTCTCTGATTTCAAAATGAGGCTATGCTGAAGAATGCTTGAAGGATGAAATGTGTCTCTTCAGAAAACAAACTGAACACCTTGAGGTTCTCCACTGTCAAGTTCTTAACTCTCTCTTGATAGTTCCTGCTTGACTTGAAAGACAGTTTCTCCCAAATGGGATCTGAAAGCTTCTTGCCTATAAATCCCCATCACTCACCTTGCACTAATAGTTACCAAATTAAAACAATGATAAAAAACAAGGTTGGTTTTCTAGAAGTTTATGTTCAAACCAAAAATTAATGCAATTTTCAAGTGATAACTGATATTTTCAGAAGAATATTCTATAATTAATCAACGGAAAACTCCCCAGAATCTCCCTGGTAAATAAATATATATCCTTCCTACAGAACAATATCCTTGGCTGTCAACCTCCTTCAATATTGGATGAAGCTACTTTACCCCCACCCTTTTCAAAAGGCATTTCCTTTTATTATGTATCCTAAGACACCTTAACTAAAAACCCAAATCTGAATATTTCAATAAGATTGTTTTATTATTCAGTAGATTCATGGAAATTTTACCAGGATGACAGAGAATATTCCACACCATTCTGTCTCCGCTAATACAGGTACACAGCTTCAGCTGGCAATATTACCAGGATTAGCATAGTATGATGAAATATTTAAAGGAATTTTCTTTTCCTAAAAACCTAATAAATCAAATGACTGCCAAATGTCATTAAAGTGATGGTCTTTGACTTGAATATGCTTTTCATATTCAAATTTGAAAAGAGACGAACGCTTGGAAAGGTTACTCAGTTTCAACTAATAACCTCAAGCACCCTACATTCACATGCATAAAAAATGAAATTGCTTCTATTGTCTAATTTTGCTTTAGAAACAGCCTCTTTCTCCTTCTGTCGTATGTATATATAAGAAGTATTTTTAAGTGATATTCAGAGTAATTCCCTACCGAATACTTAACTCAGCTGTCAAAAGCTGCTCGGGCATAGGCAGTCGTTTACAAATACTGTCCAAATATAAAAAGTATATGCAGTAGCAAGGATGTGATGCACATAAAAAAAATCAGGCGGAGCTTCCATGACACCATTCTGGCTGCCATCTTGACTTTTTTGCTTGTGGGTGGTTACCAGTCACTGACAAACCTTGCCCATTAATTTACTCCCATCTTTGGCGTGCTGTTTTTTAAAAAATATCGCATTGACAAGCTTCACATCTCACCGTGGTTTTTAACCAAGGGTGAAAACATTTAATTAAAGAAAGATTAAGGTGTTGGACTTGAGCAGGAAGTCCAGGTTCAAGTTCATCCTTAGCCATTGTAAAGAAATTTAAAGCTGACCTTGAGTATGGTATGAAATAGCCATGAAGAGGGACTTAAAGAGATTACATAGTCCAAAGACTGGGAAATAACTCTTGGGGGGCGTTTAGGATAAGATGGGACAGAGAAACTCTGGCAGGTTTTCAAGAGTCTGTTATTCTTCCCTACAATCATAAAATAGCATTCCGGAAATCCCTGTAGTGTCTGTTTCTTGACTGCTGACTTTGGGCAAGTCACTCTTTCTCAACCCAACCTATCTCACAGAGTTCTTGTTGTGGGGACAAAGGAGAGGAGGGAGGGCTAACTCAACCAGCCTGCCTGGTAAAGGAGAGGTGGGACAGAAATGCAAGGAGTGAATAAATTATTACAGGGTTAAGCCAAATTGCATGATAAAACAGCAGAACTGCAGAAATCGGTCTCTGAAACGGAAGATCTGATGGAGCTGATCTTCTAGGTGGAGCACTGCTTCCCCCAAAAAGTCCTTTCTCCAGTTGCTCTCCACAAAAACTCAGGGGACACTGCCCTCAGGCAATGAGCTTGAAATACTAACTTGCTGGGACAGCCAACAAATTGGGAAGCACATTCCACTGAGCTGGGCAAAACATAATTCTAGGTAAGTGTATGAAGATGGGAGTGGAAAGAGGGAATGCTACAAACTTTCTCAGGTTGAGGGCTGTGGTTGGCTTTCAAATGACATGCTGATGGCCCCCTTCCAAAAAGGGGACAAGACCAGGGAAAATACGTGGAATATGTCGGAAAATAGGTTTAAATTGAATTAAGGACAGTTCATAGATTTTTTTTGGGGTGCCTTCAAGTCAGTGTTGATTCCTGGTGACTGCCTGGACTAGTCCCTGCAGTTTTCTTGGCAAGGTTTTTCAGAAGTGCTTTGCCATTGCCTCCTTCCTAGGGCTGAGAGAGAAGGACTGGCACAAGGTTGCTCTGCGGGATTCGTGCCTAAGGTGGGACTGGAACTCATGGTCTCCCAGTTTCTAGTCTGGTGCCATAAACCAGGGTTCCTCAACCTCAGCAACTTTAATGTGGCTGGTCTTATGGGGGTTGATGTCCTCCCCTCTTAACATTGCTGAGGTTGAGGAACCCTGCCTTAAATCACTATAATAAACTAACTTTCCACATATGGTTACTATGCCAATTTTTAATATTTCCCCTCCCTGCCATATTAAAAAATGTAACTGAATAGTAATTTGGGACAGCCTCTGGGCACA